ACAATAAGAGTATGAGAGAAACTAAATAGTTATGTTGGTGATTCTAATGAAGGCTCATTAAGTGATAATAGTTTCGAAAACTTTTGAATTTAGAAATTTCAACCTATTGGCTTGTTATATTTTTACTTTGATCGTTGACAATAGGAGTATGTGAGAAAACTTATTTTGAATTATTATATTATTATGTCTTACTTTGATGTTTAACTCTTCTTATTTTGTAATTTGATGTTTGAATATAAACATGTCATTTTTTAATTTAAAAAAATTATTATTTGACCATATTTTGATGTTAATATGTTATATTTTAGCTTGTTGTTAGTATAACTCTTCTTATAACTATTATATTGTTGACATATTACTATATTGATATATTACTTCTTACTAAATATTTTGAATTCAATACAATATTTTTTTTGCTTTGTCCAATTTTTCTCAAAACGCCTCGAGGCTTACTCCCGTAACTTTGACAAAAAATGCCTTAACACTTAATTGCATAATTTTAAAATTTCACTGCTACCATTGTAAATTTAATTATTGGCACTAATCACTCCCATTTTTGTCATTAATTAATCACTGGTGATAGGTTTGAGTAAATTTTTACAACTTTCCAATGAGTAGTTGTTCACTTGGTAATAGTTCAATGACCTAGTGGTGAGGGTATCTTAGTCATTTAGATATGAATTAATAAATTTATAATTGTGCAAGTTTTTTGCTATTATAGAGAGGTTTCTAATTGGGAAATTAGTAATAAAAGTAGTTTACCTTTATTATAAACTATATTCACTTGATTGAGAATATCCTTGTTATCAATAGTTCTTTTTTATTGTTTGTATTTTGGCAATATTTTGATACCAATTCTATTCAGAAATTGATATTCCTTTCCCTTTAACATAGCAGTAGAGCTAGGTAATAACCAATCTGCTTGCCCACTCCATCAGGTTCTACTTAACATCTAATTGTGTGTCACGCATTCTACTTACTTTAAGTTGTGCTGCATACTTTGTGTTTTGGTCCATCTTTCTTATTGCAAGTATGCCTCATAGGTTTCCCAACTGAACTTGCACACGTCCTATGAGACTAAATTGAGTACATCAGAGTAGTACAAAGTTGTACTTTCAAGTTCCTTTGATAAATTTGAATATAAAACTGTCGTATGCACAACTATTCTAATCAGTCATGATAAAAGTAAAACATATGTTGAAGTCATATACAACAATTACATCTTGCGTTAGTGATTCACACTGCCCAATGAATACGATCTTTTCATTATTTAATATATGTGCATCCACGTGTGTTCTATCAGTCGCTCCAATATAATTCTAAAAAAATTAACAAGGGCTTGTAAATTAATATATTCATTTTACTTCTGGAATTAATGAATAAAATTTTTTTTCTTAAAATATGACATATACCGCGGGTCATGTGCAATATATATGAGAGTTCATTCAAATGTTGGGTCATTTGATTTGATAATTGCTGATGATAAACTAACAAAAACATTGGACCTAGCTGAAAAGCATCTATTGGTTATTTCTGAAGAGTTTTGAAATCGCTCTATGACTACTCTCATAGATTTTTTTTATTATAAAATGTAGAGAGTTATTGCTAACACCTCTCTAGAAGTCATCTTGGAGGAGTCATAAAGTCCATGATTCTTGTATAATTCCTCCAAGAGCTTGATGAATAAGGGTTGTGTCATATGAAACATATTGAATGGCTGTTAACGATCTGAATTCGAGCCGAGCTAGGGTTTGCTCAAATTCGGCTAAAAAAAAATCAATCCAAAATTTTGGCTCGTTGCTCGGCTCGTTTATTTCGATCTGATCTCGATCCGAGCCAAAATTTAAATCAAATTTTGAGCGATTAACAATCTTCGAGCTAAATTCGCTGTTCAATGTTAGCAATTTGATTTCAGTTGAGCTGAGGTCGACTCAAAATCAGTTCAAAAAAAAATTGATAAAAAATTTTGGCTTGCAACTTGACTAGTTTGTTTCGATTCGATCTCAATTCGAGCCAAAAATTCAAGTCAATCTTCAAGCGATTTTCAAGCTAATTCACAACCATACATATTGTTGAATCTGGTTGGGTGCCCTACAAGCAGACCCCCAACCCATTTATCACAAATTTATGATGTTGTCATGCAATGAGATCAAGCTATGTATGAGCTATAGCACTCATACATCAAATAAATTGCAGCTGCAATTCTTCTTCTATGTATATTTCTATGTGCATCCATGTTAGACAATCACTCTATTTAGCTAACACATAAAAATCACTGAATTTGCCAGAATCAGAATATTCTTTAAACAAGTAATTATCATAAATAAACTTAGAAAAAAATAACAAATTGTACGGCAAAAAGCAAATATCCAAAGCAACATTAACAATGTCCCAAAGAAAAATAACTTTTCAAAGCAAAAGCCAAATTGTCCTGATGAAAAACAAATACAAATAGTCCAACTAGAAATAATGAAATTCAAGCGTCCTTGTTATGAAAATAACGTAAATAATTGACCATACCGTCTTCGGGTCGGTCTTGCAACAAATTTATGGAGAACAAATATAATGTCATGTTCTCGTAAATTTCTGAAGTTGCCTCTAGAATGCGCATAACATGTTGGATGAAAGTTGCTTGTAATATCCCACGTTCATTGGTGCATGCAACAACTAATTGTAAAATTTGGCTTTTAATGGAAACATCACATATTTTTCTTTTTCTTAACCCTCGGTCGCTTTGATTGTCTAGTGTATTCAACTTCATTGAGGTTCGGGCTAGGGCCTTCGTTGGAGCCAGCTGTTCGTTTGATATCCAAATTCTTAGCTATGCTTGCAAACCCTCACTCATTAGGGGCCCATGCATGATCATCTGTTGTCACCACTCCACCGAACATACGATCCAACATCTCTTCTAGCTCATGGTCAATGCCACTGAATTTGAATTTTTTTTACATTTGACATCACCTACAATATAATGGGAGATGGATATGTTGATGTAATTGAAAGAAAATAAAATGTATTTTGTAGGTTTGATCAATTTTCACTAATCTTTGGTTCAACTATTCTTTTGAAGCATCAATTATTCGCTTAATCAGATCCGAATCCAAGCCCGTAGATCGCCGTTTCTTTCCAAAATTTTCCCTCTTTTTTTAATCGGTTCCATTTCTTTTTGAATCACATTCTATCATATTCCATTCCTATAATTTTCTTGAAGTCTTTTATAATATTTAGCTAGTCCTTCTTGTTAAAATAAGTCGTGGGTCTATTTCCCAATTTCACCTCCTTAAGACAGATGTCGCAAAATATTAGTTTGATTTATTTATCCCACATAGCAGATGAACCGAGCTCTTTTATCTTAACCATTGTGTTACTAACATGAAAAGAATTAAACAACATAAATATTTATCACAAAAAATAATTACCACAACTCAAAGAAAAATAATATTGCCATAATATCATCACCACTACCGCAACACCAAACACCACCACCTCCGCACCACACACCACACACCACCACCTTCACACCACAAAGCATCCACACACCACCACCTCCACACCACAAAGCATCCACACACCACCACCTCCACACCACAGACCACTCCAAAACAGCACACCACACCACCACTTCCACACCAGACACCACCATCTCCGCACCACAAATCACCCTATACACAACATCCACACACCACACCATCACCTCCGCACCATACACCCCCCCGCCCCCCCCGGCAACACAACAACAAATTTTTAAAATACACACAACACCTGAAACATTGCTATTACACAACAAAATATACCACATTTCATCCATATTTCATGAAACCAAAATATTCACAACACCTGAAATATTGTTATTAATAAATTCACCACCATCTTTCATCCATTTTTCAAATTCTCACACAAATATCAAAATTCATGATAAAATCCCAATCCATATTCATAACCCAATCCATCCCAATCCATATTCATAACATACATAACACCCAAAACATTGTTGTTAACAAATCCACCACCATCTTTCATCCATTTATTCAAATTCTCACTCAAATATCAAAATTCATGATAAAATCCCAATTCATATTCATAATATATACAACACCCGAATTATTGCTATTCACAAATCCGACATCAACTTGTATCTATTTTTCGAATTCCCACTCAAATATCAGTACGATACTTGGAAGAGCAAACCACAAACCATGCTTTGGGGTGCTAGGTATATAATTATCCCAATAAAATCAAAATGAACAGAGCAAATCCACAAACCGAACGACCCAAACGGAACTGAAATCTCAAAATACAAACCAAACAGAGTCGAAGTTGCTGGAAAATAGAGGGAAAAAAAGATTTCTATGGTGCTATGTATGCAAAAATCACAAAACAAGACTCTCTGTGCAAACCATATGACTAATAGAGCAAAACTACCAAGAATAGATAAGGGGTAGAAGATACTGGAGGAAGAATGAACCAAACACCGGGAAACCCTTGTCTCAGGTGTCGGTGAACGAACACAATGAAGAGAGGAGAAAAAACCCTAGGGACAACGAATGAGAGGCGAGGCTGAGCAGCCGGGGAGAGGGGGGTATGTGTGTGTGCGCAGGGGAGTAACAACCAACAAAAGAAAGTGCAAACGTACCTCACAGGTTGTGGTGGGAATTATTGTGCGCTTTTATTAAAATGTGCTCACGCCTCATTAATCAAACGACCCTAAATCTCTTTGTTTCACATTGATAGATTGAGTGCATATACATAATGGAACAAAAATCTCTATTTTATTTTTCTTTGGGAACTTTGCTATATTTTAATACTGATTGTTGGCGCATTATTTAGCACATAACTAAACTTAATCAGCTAAACAACGAAAGCAATCATTTACATTGAACCATGGAGTATCTTTTAACATTGATTCCAATTGTATTTTAGCTTATTGTCTTTTTGCCAAATTACTTTCCTTATACATTCTGGTGTCTTAATCTATTGATTACAATTTACCATTCTTATAGGCTTAGAAGCGGTACTTGGCTACTCACTTAAACATTAATGGGTTGTTGCCTACACTTTTGTCGAACCAATGGTACTTCTAAGCAACCAAATTCCCAACTTGGCGAAGGTAAGCGTATCATCTCCTACACTTTTGTCAAATCAGCTACGGCATTTCAATTCTCTGTGATATTTTATGGAGTTCATTGATTACATCTCATTTATTCAATCGTTTCTTTATTAAAATATCAAATCATTTCCTTAGAAATAATTTTTTTATTCTGCCTCAGTAAATCTCAAGTTATTTTCTCTCAAAGAATTAAAAGTGGCCACTGAAGACTTTTTCCTAGGCAATAAAATTGGTGAGGGTGGCTTTGGACCTGTATACAAGGTGGCTAATTTGTCTTACAAAATGTCAGTATTAAGTTTTTGACATCACACTTATTATTTCTATTGGTTTGTGTAGGGATGGGACTAATGTTGCTATAAAGGTTCTTTCCAGTCAGTCAACACAGGGAGCAACGGAATTTTTGTCAGAGATTACTGCAATTTCAGATATAGTGCATGAGAACCTTGTTAAGCTGTATGGCGTCTGCATAGAGAGAAAGTCAAGAATACTGGTCTACAATTATCTTGAGAACAATAGTCTAGCACAAATTCTTCTTGGTACTTAAAATCCCCCGAATGATCCTTATACCATTGCATGAAGAATGTCATTTTCTGTTTGGAAGATTTACTTGCATACCACTCAATTCTTATGTATTTACATATCTAACACTTATACTTCGATTTTTACATACATGCGAGCTTCCCTAAGCATGAGAAGGTGTATTTCAATTTTTAAAAACTAAAATGGTGGTATTTTTGATGTGATATGAAAAATTTTGGTGGTATAATTGTAAAAACTAAAGTTTAGGTGTTAGATATGTAAATACATAAGAATTAGGTGGTATGTCTGTAAATTCCCCATTTTGCTTTTGTAGTGTCTCATAGATTGCTTTCTTTATTGTATTCCTGGTACCTAGGCGCAAATCGCAGCAATATTCAGCTTAACTGGAGAACTAGATGTAAAATCTGCATTGGTGTGGCACGTGGTCTTGCATTTCTTCATGAGGAAGTTGAGCCGCATATTATTCATCGCGATATAAAGGCAAGCAATATTCTAGTTGACAAGGATTTCACTCCAAAAATATCAGATTTCGGCTTAGCAAAACTGTTGCCACCAAATGCAACCCATGTCAGTACAAGAGTTGCAGGAACAACGTGAGATTATTTTCTTTGTTTATTTATGGTGATTTCTGGTCCAACATGTTTTTCATCTAGTTTTTTGTATGTGATGTTCTTCGAGGACAAGTATGAAACTTGAATTGAAAATTGCAAAGGCTTTTATCGGTTCCACTTTTTGACAAATTTGCATGTTTATGGGACTTTGAAAATGCTTATTTATGGCCTATTATATATGAGTTTGTTCGTGGACTAGTATGAACGTCAATTGATATTTTTAAAGGAAGATGCCATTCGCACTTTTTTTTGCACGTTTTTGGGAATTTAAATTTTGACGCTAATTCTAGCTGTTTTAGAGCAATAGTAAAGGTTGAATTCTTGGGGATATTCTTTATTGTTTTTCACTGCAATATTTCTAATTTTCTGCCAGAGGATACTTGGCACCTGAGTATGCCATCCGTGGGCAAGTTACACGAAAGTCTGATGTTTACAGCTTCGGAGTTCTTCTTTTGGAAATAATTAGTGGCCGAAGTCATACAAACACAAGACTGCCTGATGAAGACCATTTTCTTCTTGATAGGGTAAATATCATGGTAGACGCTTCCACTGCTTATTTTCATCATATATTCTTTTTTCTTTCTTGAAGCCATACAAACACAAGGCTGCCTGATGAAGTCCAATTTCTTCTTGATTGGCTTAGTATCATGGTGGACGCTTCCACTGCTTATTTTCAATTTTCTTTTTATTTCTTGATGAAAAGTTTAATGATCACTTTTTGGTACAGTTTAACATTTTTACATTTGATATTGACATATGGTTTTCTATGATTAATGCTATATAACGAGAAAGGGATGACAGCTTAAGCTTAAGCAGATACTACAATCTTGCTTTTAAAATGCTGTGTCATGTGCATGCTTTCTGAAAGAACCATCAATGCATGAGGGCTTTGGGTAAGTTTGATAGTGAGTTAAGTTTGAACTAGTTTGTGTGACTCAAACATGACCCTAAACAATTTTCGACTTGATCTGAAATTAGGATGAACACTGTTTTGGAGCGAGGGACTAAACCCATCATGGCTCATTGCAAGCATCATAAAATACATACATGTATAATAACTGATAGTTTATTTGAACTTACATTAAATATGTTAAATTATTAACAAGTAGGGATGGCTTGAGTCGGAGTTCGGCCAAGTAATCTTAAACCTGACATAAACTCGAAATGAATTTCTAACTAGCAACCAGTTAGAAGCTCAACTCAAATAGGTCTGAATCAATATCCATTTATCTGAAAGATTGTGTGAATTATATGAAAGTATCAATTTCGAGTATTCTTTATCTTCTCAAATTTAAAGTAGATTTATGCTGATGTACATGCTTCCTTGAAGTGGCAGTAAGAACACGGCAATGCCTGTGTGCACTTTCGATAGTTCATGCAACAATAGAAATCAATCTTTAGGTTTTGATTTTTATATTAAGCTCTAAAAGTATCTTGTTTATCCAGGGCAACCTAATAAATAAGATACAAAAGAAGCATTAAGAAGTCCTACTCGCAGCAATGCATGTTTTACCTATTCATGAAAGAGGTCATCGGCATTATTATGTTAAAATTACAGCATAGGTATCATTACCTGTAATAGCAGTAAATAAATTAAAAAGATACCGAAATGAATTACCTTTAAATGAGAATGTGCTTGTGGCTTGGAATTTGGAGACATCCTGTCTTTGCAGCTTGCTAGATCTACTGTCCTCTCTATTTGAATGCTAGTGAGTTTTGGCCTTTACCGACTAGCTTCACTATCCAACGCAAAAGATGTATTCTTTTGAACCAGATTAACTTCTAAAAGCAGGCTTGGGTTGGGTGGATTGCCTTTGAAGTAGCTGTGTAGATCATAGATTTCGTCTTCTTACGAGTGTCTATGAGATTGAAAGTTGAGAGGTAAAATTCCATTAAGAATACATGAAAGTTTCTTTGACAGAAGTGAGTATCTTTAATAGTCATATTAATGGGGCCAACTTTGATGAAAGCACTTAAAGTCTCAGCAGACGGAGTAGGGAGTTAATTTGATGATTAAATTCCAATAGTTTTAAATTAAAATATATGGGTGGTATAGAAATTATAGTCCAGTTAACTTGGAAAAGATCGAGCGAAGTTTGATTTGTGAGAACTCTGTCAGATTAGCTTTGTTGGTTGAATCAATATGATTTTTGTTCATGGTATAGGAGACAGCAATGCTAGGAGGATCCATGTCTCCAACATAAAATATAAATTCATTGAATTCAGTAAGTTTGTTGTAACACACAATATTTCCTGATTTTCTTAAACTATTTCATTTTGAAATCTAGTAAAATAATAAAAAAAAATTGCTATGAACTTCTTCTCTAGCTTATAGAACATTGATTATTTAACTGTTAATTTTAATTGTCAGTTGGTACTACACCTGCTAAGCTATATCTTCACAATCCCTTTCTTGGATCTTGGGATTAAGAAAGCGTCTTCTCCTCAACCAAGGATGCATCCCCTTGTCTAGATGGTTTCCCTTCTGAATTCTATATTGCCACTTGGGATATGATAGGCAATGAAGTTATCTCTGCCATTAATCACTTCTTCAAAAACTGTAAGCTGCCTAACATATTAAGAATAGGACTTAACTACACTTTCTGAAAGAAAGGACGGTTGGCGATCCCTTGTCTCTATCCTAAACGCAAATAGTAAAATGAAGGTTGTTTTGGAACATCCTCTCATATTTGAAATAGTTTTGCTTGTATAGCTATTAATGCATGCGGTCTCAATTAAAGTTTGGACAATGGCTCCTACTTTTCAGTGCTTAATTATAGAAGTTTGTTAAAAATGTTTGGACTGCGAGATTTATATCAAAGTTTTTGTTTATTTCCTCTTTTTGATCATGGACAATGATTCTTGGAACATTGTCACTTCGATCACTGCTTTTTTGGAAATATATGGTAGCACCAGATCCATTTCTCTCCCCTTGGTGGATGACCCAATTTCTCCGGTACAATATCAAACTCTTGTCCTCATCCCTCGGCTGGAAGGCTCTCTTCTCTCACATTCGTAATGTTGTTTGGACGCACATTTGGCATAAAAGATGCTCTCTTAGATTTGCATCTTCACATGACAAGCTTGTCTCAATAGACTCATAAGTGCTAATAAACTTATCTTTAGAAATTTCAAACATTCTTTTACTTAACTCCTTGAAGAGACCTTTGAGAACCTCAAGCATTTATTTTTAGGGGCATTTACTTACATACCACATTGTTTATTTACATATCTAACCCCTAAATTTGTAAATTCACATCTATACCACGTATTACTTTTTAAAAGTGAAATACACCTCTTCATGCATATGTTTATAATACCAAATTGTTATAAATTTAATTATGAAAATTTAGGTGTTACCCATGTAAATACATAATAACTGTGCGCTATGCATGAATGTCCCTTATTTTTAAAGCCACATTCTCCCACGACTTAATTAGAAAGTGCATTCCCTTGGATACTCACTTCTTAAACCTTTTCTCTTGCAAGTCTTCAACTAAATTTTTTTTTTCATTCCAGGCCACAATTATATTAATAAATTGTCATCTTTTATTGTTGCATAATCATCTACAACATTTGGTTCAAGAGAAACACAAGATCTTATGACAAACCACCCAATGATTCCAATGCTTTCCTACACAATATCAAGCGTAGTTGAGGCTATCTAATTTTTGGGCAGTGGTGACATGTTCTCAGCTAATGCGTAGCTTTCATTTTGTTTACTTGGCTCTTTTCTAAAATTATTGCGTAATGCTTAATGTTATAATTATATGTTCATTCTCTGATTATTTCTCTGTGCCAAGTATTATTCATATATTTATATAATGCATCTGGGCTACTAAAAATTCCGGTTGCTTCTGCATTATTTTTAATTCACTTATTCCATGATTTTCCCTTGAAAAAGCCCTTTGCTTCTTGCTGGTTTGTGTGCCCCTGAAGTAGGGGAAAATTTTCTACGGTACCCAATTGTCATAGGATGTAATTCTCATCTTGCAGACATGGGCGCTTTATGAGCAAGGAGAGCTTGAAAGGATTATAGATGCAACACTCTCTGATGATCTAGACACAGAAGAGGCATGCAGATTTTTAAAGATTGGCCTTATGTGCACCCAAGATGAGGCAACGCTCCGTCCCTCCATGTCCACTGTTCTAAATATGCTAAACGGTTTGAAGGATGTAGATTCCATCAAGATCAGCACACCTGGTCTCATTTCAGATTTCACTCAATTAAAGGTTGGAAGGAAGAAGGCCAATGAGTTCGCTCTTTCATCTTCGTCTGCTACATCTAATGATGAATCATCAGGCAACCCCACACACCCCTCAATAACTTTCACTGCCATTGTTGATCGAGAATGATGCATTAAAGATTAAGCATCGTGTAGTTAATGTTAGTGTATTATTAATAATCCTTTTATTCTTTACAACGTATATTTGCGCCTTGTTTATTGTATGTGGAGGAAATAGTTTTATGCCGATGCTACTCATGAAATCCAATTGGCGTTTTTTTTTAAATTGATTTACAATTGTTATAGATTAAGCCTCTACTGTTTACTGAACGGATGCTTTCATTTTAAGTGAAAAATATGCATTTGCATTACTATATAAAAAAAAAATACAAAAATTATACAAGTATGCATCTATGATGCATAAAGTGAGTTCTGTCATCTATAAGTATGATAGAGAGTATCCTCATTGATTTGTATGCATTAAAACAAAGCTTAACACAAAAATGAGTTGCCTTATTAAATTCACGTGACGTATGGACAAAAAGAACTTGAACACAAAATCGGGAGCCACACTAGGTACGTGTTGCCAATTTCCCTTCTTCATAATGGCTTGCAAAAAATGGATAATGTTGATATTGTTCCCTTCAATGATGATACCGTTGCACTCTTGCATCCATGTCTCACAAATGGGTTGGAAAGAAAAAACTGTTCGGAGCTCCACCTAACCGTGTCCCAATGCTCCAAAAACTGTCCTATGGTGGCAAGTCCACGACCAAGCTCGTCTCGTATGATCGCTCTCGTTCCGAATGCCCGAGTGTAGAAGTGCGCCAGCAACATTCACTTTAATCCACAATCAACCTAGAAAGTTGGCTAGTTTCCTATTGCCCTCGGAATGGATAAAGTGAAGTCATGGCGAGCACCTCTAAGATAGTTGCTGCAATAATGGTAGGAGTCCCATAGCTATTTCCATGGCACATAGCGTCGGTGAAACGGAAACAACGAACAACAGCAACGTCCTTCTTAGATAGCTTGCGCATGAAATCTATGGCATCCTCCAAGTTATTGAAAGATGGGGTCTTGATGCCCCACTTATCCAACACCTCCTTAACCTTGCAAAAAAGCAAACATTTAGAGAAAATAAGTGCGCGGTCCTCCATCATCGAGCAGCCCTCCGGGCAATCTATAGTATCGGTTAATCTCCTTCTAGCAAGCCAAGAGCTCGTTGGGATTGACGGAATCGCCGGCCTACAGAGATCCTAAACTCCTGACGGCAGCCCTCTCGCACCCTCTCATGCCTGAATCCTTCACGGTGACGTCGCGAACAGAGCTACTTAGGAAGGCACGATGGAATCGCGACATACAGAGCTACTCAAACTCTCCATTCTTCTCCGGCAAGCCGCGAAGCTTTGCTGCGCCAAAACCCTCGCTTGGTCCCTCTCTACCCCGATGCTTCGCTGCGGCGAAGCCCTCTCTTGGTCCCTCTGCCGGGATGCTTCGCTGCGCCGAAACCCTCGCCTACCGTCTCCCACCCGACGGTATCGTGAGACAGTCGCAATTAGTGCTTACCGGGAAGGCTACGATAGGATCGCTGGCGTATGGAGACCCGAAACTCCCTATTCTCCTTCTGGTTTCACGCGATGAAACCAAACTCCTCATCTCCTCTCTACTCCTGCGATCAGGTTTATGTCTCAGCTTTTTGAATTTCACAAATCTGTTAGTTAAAAACCTATTAGTTTTCTTAAATTCCGTTGCCTCACGAGCATCCCAACTCCCAAGGGAAAAAAATTGAGTGTGATAGACGTACGCAGTGCTGCGTACAATATTAGAGTTATACCGAGGGTACAAGTGGGTTACATCCACGGTATAACCCCTTGTAATCTTCCTGTAACATTCTGTAATCTACCTGTAACCTAAAATAAATTTCGAGCTTCTGTTATCATATATTAAGAATTTATTAGTAGGTTAATCCTGCAGTGAAATTTTTTTATCTTGTATTGAAACAAAATACACCACAAACAAATTCAAATAAATCTGAAATATCCTCTGTCAATTGCAGCAACTTTCTCTCAGTTTCCTGTGATTCGTGAATCAAATTTTCCACACGAAGCAGCTTTCCTGTTTGCACAAAAAATTATGCTGAAATACTGCGGACACTAACCAAACTTCACCTGTCACAATTTTTACTGCGAACAATCCGCGAAATTCACGAACTCCACCTGTCGCAATTTCTCCTACGATAAACTTACGAATTCCGCTGGCGAACATCATCTGTCGCAACTGCACCTGCCGCAACTTCTCCAGCGACAAACTTGCGAACTTCGCTGGCCGAACACTATCTGTCACAACTGCATCTGCCGCAGCTCTACTTGCGACAAACTTGTGAACTCCGCTGGCCGAGCACCACCTATCGCAATTGCACCTGCTGCAACTCTTTCTAAGACAAACTTGCGAACACACTGACCAAGCACCACCTGTCGCAACTGCACCTGCCGCAACTCTACCTGCGACAAACTTGCGAACACCGCTGGTCTAGCACTATCTGTCGCAACTGCACTTACCGCAACTCCTGCAACAAACTCGCGAACTCCGCTGGTCGAGCACTACCTGTCTCAACTGCACTTGTCGCAATTCTACATGCGACAAACTTGCGAACTCTGCTGGCAGAACACCACCTGCCGCAATTCGTGAAATGAAAACACGGAAGCCTTTCCTGCAGCGATTCACCCCTTCCTCTATGAAGCTGGCGCTCTTCTCCTCTGAACCTTCGAACTGTAGAATTCCTCTCCTGTGAACCCTCTCGTCGCACCGAAGTGAACCGTCCAATGGTGCGCTTCGCGAACGATCTACTCTGATCCGCTCGCTAACGCCCTCGGAACTGCCGCAAACCGCCGGGACTTCTCCTTCCAAATCCCCAAATTGTTTTCCTGTGCCGATCTCCTCCACCCTAGTACCTCAACATCTCTCTGATACCAATTGTTATGAAATTTAGGGAGAAAAAAATGCAGTAATCAGCACAAAACCAGAAGAACACAGAGATTTAACGAGGTTCGACAAAGATGCCTACATCCTCGGGAGCAGAGCGGCGAATTTCACTATTTCAGAGGGGAGTTGCATACTAGGGTTACACATCTATTTATAGATAAAATCTATAGATAAATTTACAAACACGCCCTCGCTCCCCCCAACCCATTGATCCAAGAGACACATCTTTTAATTCCAGGAGACACACCTCTCTAAATCCAAAAGACTCCAAATTCCTGGTATATGAGCCATACTTAACATAAAGTTGACAAGTCTAACAAGCCTTAATAAATGTTTAAATCCTGAAGTAAGAATTTATAAATCTAAATCACCCTACTAATATGATCATTTTCCTCAAAAGGATTGAAGTTGATGATTCTAATAATTTTGAGATAAATGTTCAAATCCTAAAGATGAAAATTTACTAGTCCAAATCACCTAGTACGATCCTCATACATGCAAAGATAAAAGTCGAGAAGACTTATACTTTTAAAAGCTTAAACTAATAAAATTAAATGTTTGTTTTTCAAATATAAAAGCTTTAAAATGTTAAATACCTCGATGATAGCCAAGTTGATAAAATATTTTAATGAGAGGGTTAATCTTTAAGATCAAGTATTTCAAAATAACCAACTAATATGCAATTAAAATTAAATCATTCAAAACTCAAAATAAAAATCCATTTGTCTTTCGCAATGGTTTGTCGAGAGTAACAAACTTTTGATTGATTTCAACTCACAAAGAACAAATTTCATATCAAATGTATCAATATATTCACAATCAAAGAAATTGCATGTTAGTAGGAACATAGACTGAGTCATCTATTCGAGTGGTTCTCCCGTCTAATGACACCACAAAATAACGATTACGACCAGAGCTCTCTGTTCGGGCGGTTGCCGCTGAATGACAATATTATATTACGACCACGGTTGTAGTCCTTATGTTCCTCAACGACTTTCTACACTTTTGAGTTGTGAATCATAATAGTAGTATTCTGTTAGCTAAGGTCGACCTAAAACTACCCTTAGACAAACATTCACCCCAGATCTACAAATATATCTTGGACAATGCAACTCATAGCTGCTGACAAGAATCTTTATGTCAGATTGGGTCGACTACCTTTTCTGACTAAGTAGATCAGGAACCACAACGGCCCAGGATGACAAAACCATGTGATCTTGATCAGGGTTTGTCTTCATTCCCCCACAATCGACTTTATACTTGAAGTGATAAATTTTATAATTCAAAATCTCAAATTTGTTGGTATTGTATGTTGAATACTCAATTTTTAATGACTAGCTTTAATCGAAAGTGAGGGGTAATTAACCAGAAACCTCGAACACCATATCAAAAAGCTCTTAAAAAATATGTGTGAAATCTCTGGTCAATGTCTTATCTACAGTATAATATACATTTTGAAAATTTAACCCTCCTAAACTCTCTCTCTGAACAAATAAAAAAAAAACAAAATGCTGGGGGTTGTTATGAATTTTCAGAGCCCACACATGGAAATGAAGCTTATGGAGCCAAGATTGGTCGTTGACCATGGGCAGTTACTGTCTTTCCTGTGAAAGCTTGCTTTAGTTCAATGCAATCCTCAGCCGCTTCACTATAAATTTGGAAGTTGATAACTTTATCACCCAGCTCTCTGCCAAAAAACGAATAAACATTTTGTGCCTCCCACCATCCATCCTTGATCAGATCCGAAATTTTGAGGCCCTCCGTTCGGCTGATATCGCACTGGCAAGGCCATCCAGCAATGCAGATGTCGTGGATCCAAGTGCGGTTCATTGCCTCGAGTTTTTTGCCATTAGCAATTTTGACCTTCCAAGTAATCGAGTGTTACGCTTGTGAAGTAATTTTCAAATATTTTACAGTTCCAATTTATCCCTCACCATTCTCTAGAAGAGCAAGATTTCCAGTAAATTCCAAATGTACCATGCTGATCAGAAGATAAAACCTGCGGACAAAATTCAATGGTATACAGAGCTGGTTAAAAATCTTTCAAAAGATTGCGATCCCATTTTCGAACTCCGTTGCCTTTCAGTTGATTAAATTTTTTACATTTTTTTCTTTCAAATGACAACACTGGTACTGAACTACTGATACCGGTTTCTCTTTTTTCCAGTGGACAAAAGGAACTCCTCTGAATGCACACAGCTCATATGGGCTGATTTTCTGGTTCCCTTTGTAACATTATTCAGAGATTTCCCCTTTGTCCTGTGGGGGAAGCCTGTGGGTTTCTGCTTTAGTTCTTTATTA